GAAGAATTCTGCTGTCAGTTCTTACCCAAGTGACAGCGTTGGTCCTTTTTGTTCTTCAGTTGTTTTTTGCGGTCACAAAGCAAAGATTATTGCTTTTATTTGGTGCTGGGTTACAGATTTAATTAGGAAGAGCTGTCTAAAGAGGCTTGTTGTTTTGGTTTTTTCTTTTTGTCCTCTTTGGCAGTTTCATAATAAAAAATGTGGAGAGATAAATACTGTTTGCTATTGTTCTTTTGTGGATAGATTGGCAGGTTATAATTCATTCACAGAACTACACTTCCATGTGGGGAAACCAGGAGATAACATATCTTTCCCCCTTCAACCACTGACTTCAGAAGTTTTGAAATAGCAAGTGGTTTTACTTAAGAGTGTTTGTGTTCACAGAGCTAAGAGGGTTGCTGCCTATGCTGTTTTGTTAGCTGGAAGAAAAGACCTTGGGCAGTGGTGTGAGGAGGATGCAAAATTTTCATTTTAAGTTTTTCTTGCAAATAAGACAGATTGATAGCTTTCAAATTTCTTGTTTTTTTAAGATTCTCTCTGATACAGCACATGCTTTGTAAGCAGGCACTAATCCTGCATTTAGATTTTCATATTTTTCTCATTACTTTTGTCTTTTGATTTTGATGTCAAAACAGAGTGTAGGTGAGTGGGAGTATACACCTGGAGTTAGAGAGAAATTCCTACAGCTGCACTGTCAGATTTTGAATTCTGCTACCAAAAGTCTCATTATTTATGAACAAAATCCCACATCCCCTGTGCACCACTGCTTCTGGAAAGGCGTGAATGAGCAGGTACTGGATCAGTGCCATGATCAGAGGTTTCTTGCTCAGTCTCTAAATCAGAGCACCAATATTTTTTTCCCTTTTTTTGTTTCTTTTTTTTTTTTTTAATCTGTTCTTAATCTTAGTCTTGTTCATCTTGGAAGGTTCTGCCAGTAATTTAAACTCCAGCTGGCAAAACTTTTGGACTCAGGGGAACGTTCAAGGCTGTCCTCTCTGCCAGGGTTGGTAGCAGGGAAGGAACAGACACCAAGAAGAAACGTAACAAATTAACATATAAAAATATGTAAAAATTAAGCAGAGCAGCTCTCTGCATTGTCATCATGCTCAAATTGGGCTCAAAGATGTCAAACATTTATTTTGAGTGTCTCAACATTTCTTATATTTTGTAATAATTTATTTTGGCTGTAATTCACAGAAAGAATTCACTATTTCCAGCTTTTGTTCCAACTTAAAGCAATTTTCTGTTGTTTTGGCTGTTAGCCGTGACTCAAAACAATCTCTGTCTATAGGGTCTGTGTTCTTCCAGGTTCTTAGGTACACACATAAATGTAAGCAGATAAACAGTATTTCTGACTGCAGAAAAATTGCTCAAGTGGCTCAAGTTAGGTATATGGGTAGATCTGGTAATGTTGAAAAACCATGTATATAAATTATATAATTTAATAATAAGCATTTCTCCTCCATCAAGTACACTTTACACATGCTGAATTATTACATATTATTAGTATTACACATACTAAAATCCTTATCTGTTAATTCTAGAGTTAAACCGTGTCTGAAGTTGTGTAGTTTGATTTCCTTAAAAAAATAATAAGTTTCAGTATTGCTCCATAATTTTGAATCCTTGTTTAAATCATGGTGGAAAAGAAGAGGGAAAAAGTGCTGTGCAGTAAAAGCATAAAATAATTAAATAGGGAGTGAAAAAGTGTAGCATCTCTGCAAAGCCATACAGCCCTTCCAAAATAAACTTCATGCATGTTGTTCAATGTAGAAGGAATCGATTAAAAAAAAAAAAAAAAGAATTGTCTTTGATATGAGCAGCTGTTGGTGAGATAATTTGCTTTCTTGCTGCTAATATGTTCATGAATTTTATTAGGAAAATCTGCCTCATGTCTTGAACCAGAAGGAGGACAAAGGAGATAGCATATTGCATGCATGATGCAAGGAGTACAGTAATGCAAAACATCTGGGTGGAGTGGAGGACAGCTCAAACTGGTGTTGTCTATTAAAAAAGTAACCTTCCCCTTGTTTATTTTTTTTTTCCTTTTCACACAGGAAAAAAAAAATATTACATGGATAGATTTCTCATTGAAGAAGTGCTGTCAGGTTTTTTTTTTTATCCACTCAAATAAGTTTACAATCCTGAGTGATGTGAGTGAAAAGACTTACATATAATTGTTTTGACAAAGTGACTTTAGAGACACTCTAGTTGATTTTAACCAGAGCTGAATTGCACACAGTTTCCATGGGAGAAAATCTGGCTGTTTATTGATAAACTCTTAAAAAATATGGGCTCTACTTATAACACTCTATAAAGGTAATATTTATTGATTCAGTTATTAATATAAGCAAACCAAATATGCTTGGTGTTTTTTCAGGTTGGCATAATAAATGTGTACCTATTCTGTCATTAGCAGATAATAAGTCTTGAATAATAAATATCTGCATCCCAAGCATAAATATGTGAACTCCTGGGACTTCCAAGCATTTCTTGGAAATTTGGAAGCTGTGTAAGTGCTTGTGAGTAAGTGTACACAATTTCCCAGCAGTGATGAAATAAAGTTACCTTTTTTTTTCCACTGATTTTAAAAATTTATCCACATTGCCCTCCTTTTTGTCTAGCTCTTTTAGAGGGTATTAACGTTCTCATATTCTTTCAGAGGGTGATCCTGATGGTCACTCGAAGTATGGCAGCTGGGGCCTGGGTGAGTGTTTGTGTTGGCTGCAAAGCCAATTCCATCCACATTCAGGAAACTGATCCTGTGATTAGAACGAGACTTTGCTGCCTCCTTTCCATTTTGCCATTTTTATTTTTTTTTTTTAAAAAAAGCCTTTGAGGAAAATTGGTGAATTCTTTGGTAGAGATTTAACAGCTGCCACTCAGCAGCAACAACGCCACTTGTGTGCATCCTTCATTTCCCAAGACGTGAAGCAAAACTTGTGTGGTTTAAACCATCCCCATGCAAGCAGAGAAGGGAGGAAGAAATGGCAGGAATTCATTGATTCTTGATCGTGCCTCACAGATTGAAGAAAGCAGCAAACATCCACTCCAATCTCTGGAACCCCAAACACAAAAATCTCTCGAGTTCAGGCTATGCTTTTCTTAGTGGGGTTTCATGAACTTTACTCCTTCTTGCTCAACCAAATGTTTTAACTTAAAATAAAGAAGCAAACAAATAAATAAATATGTAGCTAAATCTTCTTTGTAAAACCACAAGAAGTTTTAATGTGTAGTAGGGAAAAGAATCTGCTCCCCCTTTTTTTTTTCCTCTGCTGGCAAAGAACGCCACCACTTCTAAACACAGCGACGTCATACTTTCTTGCCCTCGCAATTTCCTTTTCACTTTCACTTCTCATTCAGGAAAGCTGAAATATCAATCCTTTTACCTCATGTTGCTGCTCTGTAATTCTACACCTTCTTCTAGAAATCTTGAGCAGTCATCCTCTGACCAGTCCCTCCTGCTTCAGGGCACATCAGCGGGTCTCCTGCAAACGTGGCATTTTCAAAGCTGAGTGTGTGAAACTGAACAAATATTTGTGTCACCCTGGCTTGCACATGCAGAATTCATATCTGCAGCTATCAAAGGGGCACCTAATTAGCCATGGGTGTGTGAAAAAAATTGATTTGTGCATGCATGCTGCTTATGCTTGAATATAAACTGTGAAATAATGTAACTGTTCTGATTTCTGTGTGTGAGGGGAAGAGACTTATTTGATCTATTACAAGCTAAGCAAGATTTTATTTTGCATTAAGTTCTAGATGTAGTCATATCTGTCTGGTAAACAGTGAGTCCTCATAAGCACAGACTGCTTAATGTGTTCTTCATATGCTTAGTGTGATTTAAAAGCTGTATTTTGCTCTTTATTTGCATCCTTGTAAGGCTTTTGATTCTCAGTCACTTAGCAGTTTAACAGCATTGGTTTAAGACATTTGCATCTTCCACCCTTCTGCTCCTTGCCCTTCAGAAGATTACTGACCTGGAAAAACTGGCAGAAGGGAAGATTTCCTACCTGGGTTTTTCTTGAGGAAAACCTCTTCTGAGCACTCACTTTTTCCAGGAATTCAAAATCTGCTGACACACCTTGCAGTGCTGGCACACATTTCCTCCTCAGATGGCATGGAAATGTGGGCTACACGGAGCAGACAAACAGCAAGGCCACCAGGTTGTTTAAAACATCACAACTTGGTTCCCTGGAAGAACCTTTCTTTGTGCCTCCTGTTCATCTAGGATAGCAACTCCCTTACCTCTCCCATCATCCAGAGGGTTCAACACCTTGCCTTTGCATGTTCAGCACTCCCATGGAAGCATTTCTCTGTGTGGAGGAGTTTCAGACGTGCATCTTTGAAGTGTTTTCCAAAGATCAACATCATCTTAGTAGCATTAAGTTTATGATCTTATGGCTCAGCATTCTCGCCTTTCCCCACAATAAATTTCTCCCAGCAGAATTTAAAGGCAGGGCAGCAGCAGCAGTATTTTCTAGTGGCATGCTTGATCCTGCAGCTTGAGCACACTCTCACTGCAGTGAGGATTCCTTTTTGCAGTTTGTAATTATGGGCTGAAAATAAACGAAAGCATTATTTCAATCCCTTTATACATCTGAGTTGGATGCTGCATCAAGCTTTGAAGAAAACCCACACCTCTGCTCATTCGTGGCATCTTGAAATAAACTTTTATGTCCCCATAAAAGATACCTGGCTGGCTGATGGTCACCCATGTAACACAAGGACTTCTAGGGGTAATTATGTAGACCACAAATATGAAGAATATTGTTACTTTTTCCACTTCATCTGACTTCAGGTTAGGTGTTCTGCAGCTTTACAGTGTGTTATTGCATGTCATTCAGTGCTCTAAAGAACTGCCTAAAGCCTTTGAACTTTTACACTTATTTTTCAGCATGGCATTTAGTTTTTGTTGGGAACATTCAAACTAATGAATTAAAGTGACTCGTGTACTGACTGTGCCCTTTTTTTTTTTGTTTTGCTTTTTTTTTTTTAAGCTAAAAAAGTCACAACAGAGCCTACAACTGTTGAGCCTGTGACATCCCTGAGAACTGAGAGCGTGAAATCGTCACCTGCTGGAGTTCCTCTTGGAGTTCCTCTCGAACCTCCCATCTCTGAGACCCCCCTTACTGAAGCGCCTGCCACCCAAGCAGTTTCTTTGGAGGAAACAACCCCAGAGTCTGAAGAAGAGACAGAAATGACTACTGATGTGGCTGAGGAGAAAAGGGAGATGGAGGTGCTCATGGAGAACATTCCGTTAACCACTCTTCTACCTCAGACTGTCACCGACGGCGAAATATTCACTTATGATACACTGGGAAGGACTGAATACGATGTCTCACCCAGGCTAACAGACACCACGTCCCCAGATCTGGAACTGGATCACACTTACTCTGAAGCAGAGCTGCCCGAGGAACAAGGTAGGTCTGAAAGCATTGAGGACGCTTTCTTGACCTCTGTAATTTTTCAGGATAGCACAGCTGTAGCTAAGAGTTCCACTGGTTTTTGGGAAGATGCTGAGACGGGAGATGCACAAAAGCATGATGCTGATAATCAGACTGAGCAAATAGAAGTGGGTCCTCTGAGGACAGCTACAGATAGCTTCTTACAGACTTCTCGGAGAGAGGCTGCCAGGACAGGGACCTCAGATTCATCAGCAAATGAGAATGTGTTTCACAGTGCCCACCTCACAAATGCACCCACACTAAAATCCATGGAGGCAAAATCTGACGAGAATCTTACAACTGTTGTAATCCCTAAAGCTTTGCTCCCTGATGAGTCTGCAGAGAGGGAGGGCAGTGAGAGCATGCACACCGCTGTGCCTGGCAGAGATTCTGGGGTGGCTGCTGGTCATGCCCCAGGATCACAAGTGCCTGCTGCATCAGAGACACTCCTAGATGAGCACGCAGTAACCACTGGACAGTTTTCTGCAGCAAAAGAGTCAACGCCGTGGGTTAAATTTAGCTCTGCGACAGCGTTTGACAGCGAGGCCTCAGCTCAAGGGAGCAGAGAGGACCTGAGGGATGGGCAGCCCACCGTGGCATCTGGAACACCTGTATCCTTTTCTGTGTCAGCTGCTGATCAAACAGAATCTGAGGCCATCTCAGGAAGCACAGATTCCCTGCCAAACTTTGGAGAAGGCACCTTGTCTCTTATCCCCTCATCTCACCAGACAGAAACATCAGCTGTCTTAGAGGAGCAGGAGAAAACAAAACAACCAGAAATGAGGACAACAGGTGTGGGGGTCCCTCATTCCACAGCCACCATTTCTCCTTGTGTTGCAGCAGAATCTGAGGGATGTTCTGCAAGGGAGAAGATCACACAGGCCCCCCCAGGGGCTGGCACGTGGCTGCCAACAGATGGAGAGGAGGGGTATGTGACAGAAGAGTCTTCTCACACTGGAAGAGTGATTGAGTTTGCTACAGAGGATGGCTTCTCTGGAATGGAGCCTACATCGTTTCCAGGGCACATTGTGGAATCCACAGGGCATCCAGGAGCTCCAGTTTCAGCAGCTACAGATGCAACTGAGACAAGCAGGGAGCCAGCAGAGACCACAAGGGATGGAGAAGTGGTATCAGCTGATTTTGGTCAGAGTAGAGACACTACAAGTGTATCCCACATGAGCAGCTCCTTGGATTTGGAAATGACCACAGTATCCAAAATACCAGTGGAAGAAAGTAGTGCCACCCTAGGGTCTTTTAGCTCCTCAAGTGTAACTGTATTGCCAAGTGCTGTGCCCACAGCTGTGGGGGTAACTGAGCATGGAGGAGATGAGACATCAGGGACAAAGGGAACTGTTAAATTTACAGAGGTAACAAAGGTAGATACTGCAGTTCCACAGAAGGAGTATGATGCTTCCCTAGTTCCAGTTACTGTAGACAGTGAGGTCACTAGAGATATGCCAATTACTGATCAGACTCCTTTTGATGATATCTTTCATACAGAAGCAACAGAAACAACTGCAAAACATATCAAGGTGTTCCCAGAGCTCTCCACACTGGACCAAGGTTTGGAACCAAGAACTGCCACAGAGCCCACGCTTGCTGAGACATCTGCCCCCACACATGAACCAGAGGTGTCACCAGGATCTGAATGGCCTCAAACAGCAGTTCAGGAGACACAGGATGAGACAGGCTCAGCTTATGATGAGATGTTCCCAGCCACAGAGGTACCTGTGCCTGCCGTGATGTTCACCGACCACGGAGGAGTCCTGGGACCCGAGGAAACCAGCACCTGGTTGCACCTGACGGTGACTCCAACAGCTGAAACTGCTCCTGACCAGGATGAGGAGATCACTGAGGTGGTGCCCATAACTGCTGGAACCGAAGCAGAGACACAGGAGAGCCCAGAAGCCCCCACCAGGGAGGAAGACGATGCAGTGAGCTGGGAATCTGTGCCACCCTCCCATACGATGCCAGCAGGACATTCCACTGTGGAAAGCATTACTGGCCTGACTCTGGGAGCTTCTCCAAGCCAGGCTACAGAGGGTTCAGGAATGACCACAGAACCTGAGGAAACCATGCCAACAGTGTTTGCAGCTACTGCAACAGATAAGGCAACCATTCTCAGCAGCATGACAACACCTTCCACTGGTGTTGTAGACAAAACTCAGCCTACATCTGCAACCAAGCCTTTTGTCACTCAAAAGTCTCCACGCATCATTCCTGAGGAAGAAGAGGAGGTAACAAGCCATGACATCATAATAATTGATGAATCTGTTTCTCCCAGCAAAGCCACTGCTGAGGATGATCTGCCAGGAAAGATGCTGGAGCCAGAAATCGATAAGGAATATTTCACAGCATCAACTGCCACGGCAGTGGCACGACCTACTGCTCCACCCCAAGTGAAGGAGGCCACAGAGGCCTTGCAACCTCAGGAGGTGTCTCCTTCTACTTCACACCCTGATAATGACATAAGATTGTATGTTATTCAAATCACAGGCAATGACACAGGTAAGATTTTGCCTTTTAGACCCGTAGTCCATCAGAGTGGACAGTTTGTCATGACAAACAGGTGTGCTTTAGAATATGCTGGAGATGTTCCTTGGATCTGAAGGATCTGAAGGTTCTGAAGGAGGCAAAGTACCACTTTTGTCTAGACAGCAGCTTACTGAATATTGGTAGGTCTATTTTTCTCTCCGTTAAAAGCCCCTCAGAAATGTATTTTATATATGCTGTGTGGTAAGAATGATTTCTATGCAGGAATGAATATGAAACTGTTTTATTTCTTTTTAAAAGTCATGATGGCTACAGTCCAGTTTTCTTTTTTAATGTTGTCAAGTCACCAATTTAACTCCAGCTGTCTGTGAAACAAACATTTTAATTTCACAGCTTCCATTCCATGCATTACTAGTCCTAAATGAAGCACTAGATTATGTTAACATTCCATTGGTCTGTAGCAATTAACAATGCCATGTACAGTGTAGTCAGCTAAAAAATGGTTAAAGCTCTCTACTGCCTCCTGTGATTTGGAGGAATGGGGTTTTTTCTTTTTTTTTTTTTTTAAATAATATATCATTATAATAATATAAAATAATTTAATAATATATAGTTAAATCCATCTTAGAGAACATGTGGTGCAAATTGATGCAATATTTAATTCTGCCACATTTTTTAGCTGATGGTTCTGTACATGTGTATGTAGCTTCAATTCCATGGGTATCCAGAACAGAAACTTGTAAAGCAGCAATGAACTGTTGGGGTTGATGATGAATATGTCTCCATAATGCAAATGTTGAAGGGGGTGCAGTTTTACATTAAAGAAGCTAGTCAACTGACTGTTATTTAAGATGTCATGGTAAAACATAATATTTTGAAACAAAAAGTAAAGGAAGAGACACGCAGTACAAAGCACAGAATTTCTATTAGGTTCAATGTTTTATTGTGTTTAATCATCTTATGGTTGTATAATAATTATTCTATTTTTTTGAAGGAACACAGTAAAAAATGGAGGTTTTTTTTGGTCTTATATACCTTAACTGCATGCATGGCTTTTGAGTGGTTGTGTCAGAAACTGTTTTCTCTTTGGTTTTTGGCCGCAACATCCGTGCCTCTGAAGAACTCATCCAGCAGAATTCATAATTTATGGGAGTCTTTTGGATGGTTTTGTCAGGTTTGTTCTCAGTAGGGTTCTATTCAAAAATCAAAAATCAGTAGTGTCTTTTCCCTTGAGATGTACCATATCCTGGTTGGGCATTTCATACCTTGGCTTGGTATTTTTTTTCACGTTATGCTTATTAGCCTACTTTATATTTACAGGATGCAAATCTGCAGCTTAGCCTTCTATTTCAGAAAATGATAGTTCTGAAACTTTTGTTTCCATATTATATTATCATTATTTTGTCTTTATATGTTACCAGTGCCTTGAGATTCTCCATTAAATGATACAAGTCCAGTAAGTCAGAGCAGAAGGGTAATTTCTGAAGACAAGACTTCACCCACCTATTAAGGCCTTTGTGGAAATAATTTGACTTAATAATGAGTAGCTGGACTAGGTAATAGTGATCTTGTTTTTCCTGTTAGATTTTTGAGTTGTGCTGCAGTTAAGATCATACAGGAGAGTTTGTTGTGCTGGCAGCTGTGTGTTCCAGGTGATGGAAAGAAGTAGGATGGTCTGAAAGGGTGTGGATGTAAGATTTCTCTGCATATACATCAAGAAGAGTCTTATTTTACACCTTTTTTAGTTGTTGCTGTTTCTTTGGGTTTTGTTTGGGGTTTTTTTTCAGGATAATGTGGGTAGTGTGATTCATTAAATTAGGATTTGGTTCAAAGTCAATTATCTAAAGGACAGTGGATCAGAGTGCAGATGCTCTTCACAGCTGCTCTTACTCTGTCTTGGGTGATCATGTCTTTAGAGCAAACTCTTTTTATGGTTTGTCTTCTTCATCTTCACATACTTTCAAAGCTGTGCATGCATTTCCCTGGCATAGATGTGCATATGTGTCTGGGTGTTTATAAGCAGACTTAAAGTTATAAATCCTTAAAAATCTGCCTTTAAGAATTATCTAGTCTGTGAGGAGAGAAAGAATTTTATTTTCTTGGTATATTTTTAAATTCTGTGTTCTCTTTAAACACAGAGAGCCTCATCATGTGCCGAGTGCAAGATTAAGAAGGAGTTTTAATTTTTCTGTTTTCAGGCCCTGGCAGTGGGAATTCTTCCACTTAGCTATCTTAAAGGCACCCTCTCTCGGCTTACCCCCAATTCAGTTAGGACTGCCAAAGTTTTATTCTCTCTGAGTGTTTGGATTGCTTTCTTTTATTGCTACAGAAATGAAGGACAGCATCTGAAAAATCCTGTCAGGCCCAGTTTCCCTTCATTGTTCCTTAGTCCATAAACTTTTCTTTGTGCTGAAGAAAATGTGTATAGGGAGTAATGAAGAGGAATGAATTTGGCAAATATTACCAACATATGTCTTTCACTAAGATGTAGTTTAACTTATTCTATCACTCCTTATTTGAGAATTGATCCACTAGCATAAAGAACTACATAAACTGGACCTCTGGCTTTTTAGTCTCAGCTGATTGGCAGCTATAAATCCAGTTTACATCATTTCATCTCTGATAAAACAAAAGTTTTTCCTCCTTTGGCATGTTTTCAAGGTAATACAGCTTAGCACTTTTAGATAAAGTTAATCTGTCAGGGTTATAAACCAAGGTCTTCACTGAATTTCAAGTCAAGAGTCCAAAAATGCCCCCTAAGAAAGGACAGCTTGCTTACCAAAGCCCGTCAAGAAATAACTGTTTCAAACAGGAATAATAATGAGAGGTTATATATAAATGGCATTGTCCATAAATGAATATATTTTCCTTTTTGTGATTGCAGAAGTGCTGGAACTATTTATGAGATTATTCTCTCCCCCTCATTCTTCACCTCCTTGTTATGCAGCTTTTGCCAGAAGCAACAGTTTAACAGGGAGGCAGGGCTCAGCAGAAACTCAGCACCATGTTTTGTTTCCTATCACTCAATTACAATAAAAACCTTGCTATTGCACAGCTGAATATTGCTCCCTGCAGCTCCATTTGCCATCCACAGCGTGGGCACAATAACATTTAAATGCTCCGTGGAGGTGCCATTAGGCTTTGCTAGGCAGGAGCAGTGTTTTAACATTCCAGGTGGAAGAGAAAGGCTGTGCTAAATGTGTGAATTCTTGCGATTTTGGGATATTATTAGCAGTTTCCATCAAGCAGGACAGAGAGCCTGTGGTGGTGGTGGGAGCAGCCCTGGCTCAGGTGAGCTCACCTGTGGCCAAGCACAAGTGGAAGGAGAGGGTAGGAAGGATCCCTTATCCCTTTCTCCTCTTTCTCAATCCCTCACCAGACTGGCACCAACATCTCTCTGGGCTGGAATGTGCTGTTGATACATGGAATGTGTTATGGATGCATGGCATTTTTGGGGGGTGGGGGGGATATTATTCTTCATTATTATTGCAGGCTGAAGCTGCACTCAAAGGGTGTTGAGTTAAACTCAGTTAAATAAAGTGTCAATTATTGGATAGTGGATATAGTGATATATATAGTGAATATAGTGGATATTATTCTGTCTCATACACCCATCCCCCTTAATATGAACTAGTACAATATATATAACTGGAAGGTGCTATAAATATTATCATTTCTTAGACTTTACATTTATTAGATCAGAAAAAGTTTCTCCTAGAGGACTTCTTTTCTCATCCTAGAGGTAAATAGCTTTGCTCCTAGCTTTTAAAATGCATGCTTGCAGTGAATGAAAAATTTCACAAAGGAAGTTTACTTTTAGATTTAAAACAAAAACAAAACAAGGCATGGAAACAGAAGTAATTTGGAGGCCTGGTGGAAGGTCAAGCTCAATTTAAATTCCGGAGGATGTGTTCTAGGGCACTTAAGAAAGAACACAGAGCTAAACAGATAAAGCTGCTTATTTGTGTAGGAATACAGCAGTTTTCATTGAGAAAAATGTACAAACAATCCACACACTCCCGTGTGGGCAGATCTAGGGGAGGTGTTTCAATTTATGAGGAAAATATCCTTGCACATGAGGAAATATCCCTCTTTATGCTGCAAAAAGGATCACACACCTGTTTCAGAATGGAAGAGGCCCAGGACCTTCATCCACTGGCGTGGAACCAGTAGCTTTTCCCTCGGAATCATGAGAGTGAGGAAGCCAAATACCCCTGCAGTGTTACCACCTGCACATGGCACCTGAAGGGGCACTGGATTTTGTCTTTTGCTGTGAGGATGCAGAATTTGCCACCTTGTGCCCCGTTGTGTCCTCACAGCTCCGATGTTTCGTACTGGTGAGGGCTGCTGCTGGTGCTGGAAGGTCATGGATTAGCAGCTGGGAAAGAAAAAAAAAGAAAAACCAAACCTGAAGGAACTTTTCAGCTCATAAAGCTTTTATGAGACTGAAAAATGCTTGTGGGGGTGTTGTTTAACAGTGGTTGAGGGGATGCTGGAAACATAACTCCTGTCTGAATCAGGAGTAATTTGCACACCTGCGTTTTTTGGAGACATTTAAAAGTCTTTACTTAGTGAATATGTTTCAAGATGCTTGTTGGACCCTGGGACTCACACCAGCTCTGACTGGTTTCTTGTCCCCTCCAGCTTTGAAGGGAACGAAATTGCAAGAACTTGTGCTTTGTAGATGTGGAATTTCATGGAAAGAGGTTACAAACCTTTGTGTTTCAACATGTAATTCTCTGACATGCATACTTCTGTCTTTGCAGTGTGAGAGGGCATGTGAAGTCTGAATGAAATGCAGAATGGTAATGAGTCATAGTCATAAACCTTAACAAAGAAGGCAGAATAGAGTCTTTTCAGGTCCATCTTAGGCCTTGCCTTAAAATTCATTTAATCTTGTTGTCTTCACAGCTCCTTCTGGAGGGCTGTCAAAGATCATCATGGCTCTCTTTAAGCCTGATTCTAATGTCTAGCCTGACTTTCTCCTCAGCCAGTTTATACCATGTTTATTCTTG